GATAGGTGATCTAACACTGGTGATGTAGAAGCACCTTACCGTGGTTTTAAGCCTAAACTTGACATACACTGTAAATATGTCCTTCAAATCTGATTGGTTGATTGGTGTTGATCCAGGAACAAGTTGTACTTGGTGAAATCACGTTCACCAATACCTTTTATATCACAAAGTGACAACTTTCATTTCAATTTTGGTTCAAGTGAAATGAAAGTAAATGCAGAATTACAATTGTGGTTTGTTCAAAAGTTGATCAGTTTTGAGTGTAAAACCATTTGGTTTCCCTGTCATGTCCACACACAAAGTTAACAAAGTCCATAACCCACATTCACAAAACTTGCAAGTCATACAGAAGCAGCTGTGCAAGTATGATGATTAGGATTGGAACATGCAAATGTGATATGCCTAATTAACTTTTTCTAATGCTAAAATCTTGGACCCGTTCAGATGGGTCATGAACTCTATTGCTTGTCCTTTTTTTCCTAAAGTGATTAAATATCCTAATCTAATGGGGAAAAAAATGACATTCTGACCGTATAATTCATTTGGGAAATACTCTGTGTTTGCACAACATATAATTGTTTACTGTGCAGAAGCACTATTCTCACATAGAGACAGGTAGAACTTCAGGCGGAAGGGTGTAATTCAATTAGATGCATAAACAAATTAAGCATACAGTGAAAGTGCACTAACTGAGTTATATCTTTACCTAAGCAGTTTAATATCATACATAGGGCACAAAACCGTAACCTCAGAAACAAAAATTCCATCATTTTAAATGCAGGGGGATCTGAAAACACACCAACAACATCAAGCTTCAAGAGACTTTGTGCATCAAGCTTTGACATGAAATAATAAATGGCTTTGTGATGAAATAATACAAATGCATAAATACAACCAAGTGCACTTATTTATTTTTAAACTTATTTTTGAGCAAAAAAGATTGAGATTGAAACTCATGCAGTCCATCCTGTGGATATTTTTGGCATGAACTGGCATTCCTGTAGTGTCTTTAAGGTTATAGTGGTAGGACATTCAGTAGCTGTAAGACAAAAGTTATAGATTTTTGCGGATCATGGCTAAATATGAGAGGAAATATTTTTGCAATTTATTTCTATTTGTGTATCTTGACAGAGGGTTGAAGCTGGAGTTGCATACTTTAAAAAGTGACAAAAAATCCATAAAAGTCACAATTTAAATATGGGTGTGTTTACTTGTATCATATATCAGAAAAGAGAACCAACAATATCCCTGAACTTTAATACCGGTGTATAGAGAGCTTAATAAATACTCTGATCACTGTCATCTGACTGCACTAGAGGTAATCATATTTGCATTACAACGTTTCTTTGCATGTTTGTAACTAATGACAGAAGTTGCCTCATGTGATGTTCTCACTGTTTCAGAATCTGTTTGATATGCATGGTTTCGATTTCGAACATAAACAGCCAAATTAAAATCGAACAAATGATCAAGATATGAATACTGTAGGCCTATACAGTACAACAGTAAGCACAAGTGCAAAGTAAATAACGGGCTGTATTACAGAATCTTCTTATCTTAATTCTTGATATAAGATTTGAAAAAGTTCTATTTCCTAAAGGTAAAAATACCAAGGTTACTAAACAGATAGAATAGATGCTTCTGTAATAGTTGCTTTTCCTGATGGACAGAGGTCAATTTGGACGTAATTACTCGGGAAAATGTGCATCAACCACAAAGAAATATACAAATGATTGTAATAAAACAATAAAAACACTAACACAGACAGTACTAACACAAATATGCCGAAACAAAATAACAGTGTGCAAGCTAGAATGCAACAGTAGGCCTACCGTTCCGGAAGTAAACCCTCATTCATTTTCTCCATAGGACAATATATACTGTAAAGGGATAGTTCACCCAAAAATGAAAATTCTGTCAGTAATTACTCACCCTCATGTTGTTCCAACCCCGTAAGACTTTCGTTCATCTTCGGAACACAAATTAAGATATTTTTGATTAAATCTGAGAGCTGGATCACTCCTCCATAGGCTTCTAAGGGATTAAAACTTGCCGTGCCAGAAAAGTTAAAGACATCGTTAAAATAGTCCGAGCGACTACAGTGGCTCAATCTTAAGTTTATCAAGCGACGAGAATACTTTTTGTGCGCAAACAAAAATAATGACTTTATTCAACTATTCATTTCCTTCTCTGTGGGCCTCGAGATAGTTCACGTAGTGTAACTGCACAGCGCTTCTAGGTTGTACGTCACACGCATCACACACATGACCACCGTCGGCCAATAGTGAGCCTACGTGTGACGTACAACCAGAAGCCCAATTTTAATTTTGGGGTGAACTATCCCTTTAAGACAGACCAGTTTTGAGGTCAATCGATGGTGTTTGCTTCTGTGTAGATTTCTCGTAAACAAAATACGATTACACGGTAGCGAAAACTACCCACAATCCTGCAGGAAATTTAGCCAATCGCTAGTTTGTTACCATTGAAACGGGAATCCTTCACTTGGATTTTCCGATTCGTTTCTAAAAAAAATAAATAACGTTTTTTAAAATTACAAAGAAACATATGTAAGTTGATAAATGTGTAGATATTTGTAAATGTTTAAATTAATAATAAAAGTTTATTAGTTTTTGTTATTGTTTGGTTTATTTTTATTTGTTTTATTGTTTGGTTTCACTTTGGCCATTTGTTTTTGTTATTGTTTGGTTTATTTTTCATTTGTTTTATTGTTTGGTTTCACTTTGGCCATTTGTTTTTGTTATTGTTTGGTTTATTTTTATTTGTTTTATTGTTTGGTTTCACTTTGGCCATTTGTTTTTGTTATTGTTTGGTTTATTTTTTACTTTTTTTATTGTTTGGTTTCACTTTGGCCATTTCCTTCTAAGAAACTTAGGATATATGCCATTTATGCAGTGTAAAATCGACTAAAATTAAATTTGACAGGATAAAATCTGACAAAATTTAAATGTCATTTTCATAAAATGGTAACTAAATAAATAAACAAACAAACACAAAAACAAATAAATAACACATTGATCAGGCAGAAAGTATGTTTTGGTAATTAGCCTGTATAGTAGCATTACATGACTGCTGTAGCTGACATTTTTGCATCAGTTGTTGGCCTACACAGCCATAATGCATGCACAAAGTTTCAGCAGAAAGCAAAACATTCCTGAGACCCTGAGAGTAAGGAAGGAACCATGGTACAAAGAGGAAACCCACACTGATCTGGGGTGCATTTCTCGAGGCCAACTCTGGTCACAACTTTCGTTGTCTTTATCAACACAATTCAACAGAAGTAGTTGGCTAACAATGCTTTTGGGAAACCCACTTCTGGGCTGCATCCGAAATCACTTACTTGTCACCTATAGCACAGTAGGTGAAAAATAGCATGTGACAAAAGACTGTCTCAATACACAGTAGGCCTACTCAAAAGAGTAGGTGCAAAGTACCCGGATTACCTAATTCTTCTGCCGAGATTCTGAATTGTGCATATGATGGACACTTTACTATCCCATGGGGCCACGGGAGAGGATTTAGGAATGGCAGTGAAGCGACATAACTGACGCTGGTAGGTCACATGATAATGACAACATGGCCAATGTAGTACCTCCAGATTACATTCATCCTACACACACTCATACTATGTAGAACATACTTTTTTAGTAGTCATGAAGTAATTACTTATTCAAAATAAGTAGGCCTACCTACTCAATAGAGTTTGCAATTTAGGACACAGCCCTGCTCTACCTAGATTTACATAGAAGGCACGGGAAACAAAAAGAAGCAGTTATGCTCAAACAAGTGTTAACAGAAATATACAGCCCCAAAACCCCCATTATCTAATACAGATTTCAAACTTCAGTGACTGCTTCAGGGAGGAAAAGGTCACAAGGTTCTGAGTATCATTATTCGGGCTCTACTGCCATCATGTGGTGAGTGCATGGACCAAAAAGAGCCAATTCCCTTCACATTGACTAAGATTAAAGAGATACATATCTGATCTGATACATCTTATGTAAAGTGTTTTCTCCTGCATATGCAAACGCCATTAGGTTTAGTTGGGCTATCATGTTGTGTAGAAAATCTTTTTGCTGTTTCACTTCTGCTTTTGCACTCACATGATTATTTGTGACTCATCTGGCTTAGGCTACTATTTGTTCTAGAAATAGTTTTAGAACAAATTTAAGCCAATCAATAGAGTTAGAAAACCTCACCTCGCTTTTCTGAGCAACATCTTTTTATTCCGCTAGACATAATTGTGTATAATTTCTGATTTTTCAAATGAGCAATTTACTGAAAAAGAATGGGAAGTGGTTTGTATTTTGACCAGTATCTCTAAAATCCCCTCTCAAACAAACATAATGGCAGAGGTTTGATTACGTTATAATTTAACCAGGCCCTAGATCCTCTCTAAAATGACAACTGTTATAGGCCTACCTGTAAATTGCATATCCTCATACCTCAGAGGACAACTGGTTTGGGTACTATCTTGTTACGAGATAACTAATTATTAAGAATGAATGGGTAGGCTATAATAAGGAATTCAATCAATTGTTTGTCTTATACAGTTGGCTAGGTTGTCAGTCAAGGGTAAACTGGAAGAACAAAGCAACATTAAATGACAGAATTGTTTAAAGTCAGGCTACAGTTTTTTCTAATAATAAAAAAATAATACGATTTGTATTGACAGTTAGGCTCCAGCACTGTACAATTATAAATGGATTGTTTTTGACATGTGCCCTGGTAAAAACAGAGGTGATCGATTTTGCACTAGAGAATCTTCCACTGGATGTGCAACGTGAATGTTGAAAACGTGTGAGTAAAAAAAACGGTGTGAAGGGATTTTATTTTAAACATTAGCTAATGTGATATTGAGAGGAGAGTGTGGCATTTTAGGGTTTAAAAGGTGTCAGTGAATGTAACGTGAGGAAATTCTGTATTTTAAACTTGAGTAAACACGAGTTAACTTTCGTGTTTTGACTTGTCGGAAACTCCCACCACCAGTCACACTCAGTCAGTCATTCGACTGCAACGTTATTTCCTGCAGCGATACGACATGAGGTGATGCGCTTTAGGAAACGATAAAAGCTCGAGTTTATAGCGTTTGAATTGAACAAAGGGACATGCAATAAGGTAACGTAACAGTTTATGAATCATTTATACCTTTTCAATTTGATTTACACGTAAAAAAAAGTTTGTCGCGAAGCTGTTTAGCTGTTTAGTCAAATCAAGCGAATAATCTGAATTAAACAAGGAATTTGAAATTACAACACGACTGCACAGTCTATGTCCTTTTATCGTTTTAACTATTTAAAAAAAAATGTGGTTACTGTTAAGAGATCTGACTTATTTGATGTTTTGAGGAAGTCAGTTATCAACTGAATTAAGAGACTGAATCAGTGTTCACTGTAAAATGGTGTACAGTCAATTTATTTTTTTGTGGCTGCACTTCCCTATAAAGTTTTATGTACATTGATATATTTCATTAGTGCACAATGTTGACTTTACATCCGGGAATAGACTGGATGGTCTTCGATTAGATTATTGTTTTGTTCACATGTGTATTGCTTGAGGTTTGTGGCTATATAATGAGACTATAACGAGTTTACTCCAGGATTTTAGATATAAGCACTTAAGTCACTTTTTGCTCTTATTGCCTCATGGTGTTCAACAGAGGATTAAAGGGAAGTCCCCACCCTTTTTATTCTATGTATGGTGGTGACCATATCTTGTGGGAAATGTGCAGCAGCATCATCAGCAGCGGTGATGACTATATATGACAAACACTTCTGGTGTTATAAATAGTTTAGCTTTATAGTAAATTGTTGCCAGTGAACTAAAACCATTTATGAGAGGCCAGAAACACGCTATCAAGCTTGCATTTTGAACTGTGTCTGGCTTTATATTCCTGAATACCATACTGTGCAATGAAGGTCTCATACATGTTTGTAGAGTTAAAGCTTGTCAGGCCATAAAGTCTAACAATCTGAATTTCCCTTCCAGGAAAGATGAGAGACAGGCTGGCTGAACTGGGAGGTGTTGCCACCAAAGTCCACAGCGAGGAGGAAGAGCAAGTGGATAGCGGAGAAGATGTGGACAATGGTGAATTTGAACAGCATGCAGTTGTGTTTGAGGGCGAGGACATCATGGAGGACACCTTCAGAGAAGCCCAATCCATCCAGAAAGAGATCGCCCAACTCAGGATGGAGGTCAAGAGACTGGGTAAACAGAACACACGCTTTCTCACCTCTGTCAGACGCATTAGCAGCATCAAACGCGACTCGAACACGATTGCACGCAGCATCAAGACGAAAGGGGAGAACTTGTATGCTCGGATAAAGAAGCTGGATGCGCTTTGTAAAGAGTTGGAGGAGAAACACGGAGCCCATTCAGCTTTGGTGCGCATGATACACGGCCAGTTCGTCTCTATAACGGGTTCTTTTCATGAGGCTATGAATGAATACAACAACGCCGAAATGGCACAGAGGGACAACTGCAAGACTCGTATCCAAAGGCAAGCGGGGATCGTGGGTAAAGAAGTGAGTGGAGATCAAATCGAAGAAATGATTGAGACCGGCAAGTGGAACGTTTTTTCCGACGACTTGCTCACAGAAGGGCGAACCGCTCGCTCAGCGCTCACTGAGATCGAGAATCGCCACAAGGAGCTTTTGGAGTTGGAAAGTCGCATCCGAGACATCCATGATCTGTTTTTCCAGCTGGCTTTGCTGGTGGAGGAACAAGGGCCCATGGTGGACAACATTGAGGCAAATGTATATGCCACCCAAGACTATTTGGTTAAAGCTACAGCTCAGATAAAGAAGGCGGTCAAATACAAGAAGAAAAACCCTTGTCGACAGATCTTCTGCTGCTGTTTTCCATGTTGCAATAAATGATCTCAGTGTTAAAGCCTTCCGATTTCACATACGCCATAGCATATTAAACAAACAACAGTCTTTCATTCTAGAGTTAACCATGTCATGTGATTTACTTTGTAGAGAACAACCAATGCCCAGTGCTTGCGTTTGATGGTTGCCATTGCAAAAAAGCTTTGTGACTTCTTGTAAACCACAGGAGCTGCAATGCAATTGAGCTGAAGTGATACTGCAATGTCACTGCTACCCTTCTGTAAGTGTCACAGGACATTCACTTGATGTGTAAAAGATATTAAAAAGGAAACCGCAAGTGTTTTACACCCATGTACAGTGCAAACATTACAGAAACATGTTTTATTACTGCTTTATTTTAAGATACATTTGTGTGTGTATGATTGTTGTGTGTTAATTTAATAAATAATATTTTATCTTTGAATGCCTTTATGTTTGTTTGATCACCATATTGTTCTACAGTTTATTATTGTAACATTTATGCAATACATTGTATTGCATCAGTCTTGGTTTCCCAACTAGGAGAGTTACTTCTGCAATATGACTTGCAAAAGGAGTTGTGCAAAAGGGTTTAGTGGTTTGGAAATAAAGTCCAACAATTCTATTCATTTGAACAAACACTGAGAAGAATCAGTATATTCTTTCTTTATTGATGGTTACATTCGCATGTGAATCAGTTTAAGAAATCTGTCAGCTTCTTTTTGAGAACTATGCTTACTTTCAAAGTAGCATTACAGGGTGTAAGTCAACATGATATTCTATTTAAAACTACCAGGAGTGGGGTTTGAACCCACGAGGACATTTGTCCATTGGATCTTAAGTCCAACGCCTTAACCACTCGGCCATCCTGGTGGCTGCACAGTTCAAATGACCTCAAAAATCTATTTTTTTTAGAGGAAATGTATTCTGTTGTTTCTTTGTTTTGAATGACCACATCTACCCGCAGAACAGATTTTCTTTTTTTCTTTTTTTTTGTGGAAAATGCATCACATTAAACTAGGTAGTGAGACGTGTCTTTCAGTTTTGATTGTAGTTGTATTTGAGGTCACAAGTTTTACATTTGATAGTATTTTGTATTAGTTTCAAAAAAGAATTTAGAAGCACATTCATGAGTGAAGAGACGACTCGACGCCGGCGATATGTTAGGCCCTAAATTAATACATGATTAACTAACTGTATTTTTTCTATGTACATTTCTGAAATGCACTTTCTGTAAAGCTGCTTTGAAACAATATGTATTGTGAAAAGCGCTATACAAATAAATTTGAATTTAATTTAATTCATAAAGTTTAAAAAGGACAACAACGCTACAAAATGTAAAGCAATGATGCATATGCCTATGAAAAATTACAGTTATATGCAGGTGCTTTTGGTATAAAGTGACAAATATCTGGAAGAATTGTGGGGTTAAATCATTTAAATATCCTATTAATCTATTAACAAAGTTCCTTGTCACTTGTTTATCTGTTGGTTGCTTGCATGTCTCCACTTTCTACTAAAGTGGAACATTTATATTATATATCGGATTGCACTTAAATGTTATGAAGTTCAGACCCACAAGGACATTTGTCCATTGGATCTTAAGTCCAACGCCTTAACCACTCGGCCACCCTGGTTCCCATGTGATATTCTAATGACCTTGTGAATGAAATAGGTAACTGTAGGATCATTCAGAGCTGCTGATGTGTATTTGGGCTCACCGAATTTCAATTTCGCAGCTTTTGTAATAGTTCCATAAAATAAGGCACATATTGGCAGCAAAGAAAGAAACTATACAGTATATGCTGTAAACTTGTTCAGTTCAATTTGCTTGTATCAATACAGTTTCATTTATGAGATAACAATTAATTTTCTTTTTCTTTTTTCTCAGTTCAGACTGTAATGTGACTGTCAAAAGTCTGTTATATTGCATTAGTTCCAACTTTGGTCTTTTCTTCTGTGTATTTTGCATGTGATGAGGCCTACAGACAATCTGATATTTTGTGTGTTGTAACTGCAGTTGGCATCTGTGTATGACAGGCCTATAATTTTAATGCATTGGCATGAATGCCTTTGTAATGTCTTTCTCAGCAAGCACACATGAATTATCTGGCGTAATCAAAGTGTTTTAGGACTCTTGTAAGTTTAAAAGTTAGTTTTGTGCAGGCAGGCAACAGGTATTGATACTCTAAATAGTTTCCCAATAATAAAGTAAATTAAAAAATATATATTTATTTATAAATATTTAAAGTCTATTTGAAGTCACATTTTCCCCATCAGGTTCAAGTGATTCTTAACAACACTGGAGATGTGCTGCTATGTTACACCAATAGATGTCAGAATTGAACTTTTTAGGATCCTAACAGAAAGTCTCTTGTCTGTTAAATGATGTTCAAGTAACCGAATACTCTAAAATACTCTATGGTTTCACAGACAAGGCTTGAGTCTTAGACTAAAATGCATTATTGAGCTGTTTTAACTGAAAGCAACTTGCAACTGGCATATCTTAAAATATGTCAGTGCCATTGTTTTGTCTCAAGATGCACATTTATAAAAGGCATGTTTATAAAAATGACTTAAATGTCTTATTGAACTAAGGCTTAATCCTGGCTAAATCTAAGCCTTGTCTGTGAAACCTGACTATAAGCAACTGAATAAAGTTGCCCCCTTAAATGATGAATAAAAGTGAAGTCAGTGAAGAGAAATCCTAGATCTTAGGGGCCTGAAAAATATAAGGTTCCATTTGTGCCAAAAATGCTTTGTGCATTATACTATACATTTCATTTGTCCTTGTCTACAGTATTTTTATAATTAGGCTATATGTTGAAGTGTATGCCCTCTGTTTATGTAGTCTTGTCCTGTAGTCTTTACTGTCATCTTTTCCGTCGTCTTTCTCTGTCGTCCTTACTTGTTCTCATATGAAGAGAACGTCAAAGACCCCATGTATCTCTGAAGAGGACTGTCTTCAGAAAAGTTTATGTGGTAACCTGGGAAACTGCTATATTTCTGCTGTTCTCTAAGCGCCACCTACTGTCAGGGAGTGAATTTGCATTTTTATTAATACGATATCCTGTTTTTGTTCCGACAATGCGAAAATCAGATTAAAGGTTATTTTATGTCTGTCCTAATATATTTACTGTATATATATATATATATATACACTCACCGGCCACTTTATTAGGTACCCCATGCTAGTAACGGGTTGGACCCCCTTTTGCCTTCAGAACTGCCTCAATTCTTCGTGGCATAGATTCAACAAGGTGCTGGAAGCATTCCTCAGGGAGTTTGGTCCATATTGACATGATGGCATCACACAGTTGCCGCAGATTTGTCGGCTGCACATCCATGATGCGAATCTCCCGTTCCACCACATCCCAAAGATGCTCTATTGGGTTGAGATCTGGTGACTGTGGAGGCCATTTTAGTACAGTGAACTCATTGTCATGTTCAAGAAACCAATTTGAAATGATTAGAGCTTTGTGACATGGTGGAAGTAGCCATCAGAGGATGGGTACATGGTGGCCATAAAGGGATGGACATGGTCAGAAACAATGCTCAGGTAGGCCGTGGCATTTAAACGATGCCCAATTGGCACTAAGGGGCCTAAAGTGTGCCAGGAAAACATCCCCCACACCATTACACCACCACCACCAGCCTGCACAGTGGTAACAAGGCATGATGGTTCCATGTTCTCATTCTGTTTACGCCAAATTCTGACTCTAACATCTGAATGTCTCAACAGAAATCGAGACTCATCAGACCAGGCAACATTTTTCCAGTCTTCAACTGTTCAATTTTGGTGAGCTCTTGCAAATTGTAGCCTCTTTTTCCTATTTGTAGTGGAGATGAGTGGTACCCGGTGGAGTCTTCTGCTGTTGTAGCCCATCCGCCTCAAGGTTGTGCGTGTTGTGGCTTCACAAATGCTTTGCTGCATACCTCGGTTGTAACGAGTGGTTATTTCAGTCACTGTTGCCCTTCTATCAGCTCGAACCAGTCTGGCCATTCTCCTCTGACCTCTGGCATCAACAAGGCATTTCCGCCCACAGAACTGCCGCTCACTGGATGTTTTTTCTTTTTCGGACCATTCTCTGTAAACCCTAGAGATGGTTGTGCGTGAAAATCCCAGTAGATTAGCAGTTTCTGAAATACTCAGACCAGCCCTTCTGGCACCAACAATCATGCCACGTTCAAAGTCACTCAAATCAACTTTCTTCCCCATACTGATGCTCGGTTTGAACTGCAGGAGATTGTCTTGACCATGTCTACATGCCTAAATGCACTGAGTTGCCGCCATGTGATTGGCTGCTTAGAAATTAAGTGTTAACGAGCAGTTGGACAGGTGTACCTAATAAAGTGGCCGGTGAGTGTATATAGGCCTGGCACACAGACACATGGATGAATTGACAGAAGACAGAGAAAGACGACAGAAGAAGATGGCAGAACAATATGAGATAACCAGAGAACACAGCCTACACATCAACTTATACAAATTTATCTGAACAAGTAGGCAATGACAGTAGACAAGGACAAGTGTATGGTATAAAGCCCAAAGCAGTCGACTCATTTTTGGCACAAATGTAAACTCACATTAAAAAAAATGCAAACTTTTGAAAACAGGTTTCAAAGTGCATGTTTTTGAAAAGAGACCATGTAAACTACAACACCTTGAATTTGTGAGAACAGTGACGTCATGCGCATGCATATTACATGTTCAACTTCAGTCTATAGGCGCGTAGTGTTTATCTACTAAGTGACATCGCCACCTATACTGGCCTGCCAGCATAATACAGCATTTTTAATTGTTTTTGTGGATCCATGTGAATGGGGATAGTTTCGACAACATTGTCGTCTGTACGTGAAAACCGCAAAGGCAAAACCTGTTTTGAAAACCTCAGAAACCTGTTTACTTACAGCAACACAAACCTGTAAACATCAAAGTAGTCCACTTGTGCTTCTGTTCTACCAGACATGGAGCTTGAACCCACAAGGACAATTGTCCATTGGATCTTAAGTCCAATGCCACTCAGCCATCCTGGTCACAGAACTGCAAATAATCTAATGATGAATATACATGGGAAATATGGTCCTGAGAATGTGCTACTCAAATAGACAACTGTTAGCAAATATCAAAAGTGGCTCGGTTCTCTTGCAGAACAGTTGTGTAGGCTTAAACCCTATAAGTTCATATCAATTTATTAATCACCTAAATGTGTTATTGATTTATTTACCACGTACTTAAGAGCTTCTTCGTCATACCATTTACCCACAAAGTACAATTAATATAATAGATTTAACGATTTGGAGATTCTATTAGGAGTGGAATTCAAACACACAAGAATCTTAAGTCCGATTCAGCCATCTTTTAGTTCAGAGTTCAGATTCATTTAATACAACTGTTGCTTGTGTATTCTCCAATGTATTCTACACAATGCTGTGTAATTCATA